CAAAGTCCTGCATTTAAAACATTACTTAAGTAAAAGTGTTCAAGTATGATCAGAAAAATTTATACTTTCATATTTTTTCTTTTGTATTTTACAGATTGTAGCTAAAAAGTTTTTTTTTTTTAAAGAAAATTTTTTTTCATCTAAAAACAGTTCAAATGCGTTTGCGAATTTATTTTCTTTTTATTTAATAGATGAACCTGATCATTTCAAGTTTACTACTATGAATGTATTTTTAAAATTAGACACAATTACTGACTTTTAGCAGAAAATGAAGCATTTGTTCTGATATTTTACCTAAATTTTATTTGTTAAATGAGAAATATTTTACATAATTGGTGTTTTTTTACAATAAAAAAGCCAAAAAATACACATGATCTAATGTGAAATTAGGCTAGAAAACATGTAAATGTGTTTTATTTATGGAAAAATACTGTTTTGTTAGGAAACGGTTGTTTTCCATCATTTTACAGATTTTTTTTGACACACCAGCAGCCACAATATGAGTTTTGTTTTAACTGTTTACCGAAATATTAAAGATGTTTACAGAAAAATGTCACACAACAGTTCTAATCGTAGCTAATATTTTATGTTGTTAGATTATTATTACTCGTAGGACAGATGTAAAAGCAGGATTTTACTGTTTTTTTTAGTTTTTTGAGGTTTTTGAGTAACATAGGTGTTATTAATGTGACTGATCTGTTCTGGAAAAAGCAGGAAATTGTCCAAACCTCAAATTTATTAAACTCCTGGAAACCTGGAAAAGTTTCAACTGCAAACTTGAAAACTATTTACATGAAAAGCCACCTAAACAATTAATTAATTGCTTTATTGTATTGCATAAACTGTCAAGTGGTTCAGTTAATTGTGAAACATCATATTTTATGGGCATTTCTTATGTTTTGTTTTATAAAAACCTAATTTGTGATGTAAAAAAGAAGATAAATGTAGTTAAATATCCCTGAAAACTGGTGGCGTAAAACAACAAATTACTGCTGTTACACCTTTTGTACACATTAAACAAATAAGACATTAAATCTTTATTTGTCAGCTCTAGAAATAAAGTTGTGTGTTTTTTCTTTCTTACCTCGGTTCCTTTTAGCCTCCAGTTGTTTTGCTAAGCTAAGCTAACTGAGCTTAACTGTAGCAGAATCAGTGTTGTTGATGAAATGTATTCCTAAAGAGTTTTATTTCTCCCAGATGGTCCTGATAAGGTGGAGATGCTGAAACCCAACAACATGCTGGTGGGCGACGTGCTCTACGTCCTACCTGGATCCACCACAGAGCTCCAGTGTCTGACCAACTGCTTCCCCTCCTGCTCCATCACGTGGTTGTACAACAGCACGGTCCTGTCCACCAACGCCTCCATACTGTTCACACCTGTAACCTCTCCGTACCAGGCAGCGCTCACCTGCGTGGCTTCTAACTCGCTGTCAAAGGAAAATAAAACAGCCGAGACCACAGTTGTTGTTCCTGGTAAGCTCATACAGACTTAAGTATTCACCGCTGTTGGACGTTTTCCCCTTTTATTGTCCTAAACCATTTAATTGTGGTCAATTTAATTTGGCTTTATGGACAAAAATGGGGAAAAAAAGATGTATTTCGATCAAGTAATGTCAATTTTGACTCACCTAACTCAACAAAGCTGCAGCCCATTGGTTCTACAAGTCACACAATTAGTGAAATGGAGAACATCTAAGCACAGTCAATGTGTCTTCAGTGATTGTAGGATAATTAAATGTACCTGGAAGGTCTGGTCGCTGGTGAATCAGTGCTCTTGGATATAACTACACCATGACGTACAGAAGAACACTGCAAGCAACTCTGTGAAAGGGTTGGTGAAAAGTAGAAGTCAGGGGATGGAAACAAGAACATCTACAAATCACTGAACATCCTCCAAACTATAGCTGAATCCATCATTAAGGAATGTGTATAAATCTGTCTAGAAACCTGCTCAAGAACTGAGTGACCGAGTAGGAGAGACACCAGTGAGGCCACCAAGACACCTACGACTCCTCTGAATAGGGTGGCCATGTTTTGAAAACCAGGACACTCGGCCCGGCAATGAGATGCTCAAATGATACTTGAAGTTTACTCAAAGATGCCTTAGAATTTAAGTACACTAAAGTATGCCTCCTCTGTATGGATAGAAAGTTGTTACAGTCACTTTATAAAAAACAACCAGGACAGATGTGAAAACAGGACGCTTGGTCTGAGTTTCAGCAGCTGAAATGGAGAAGGTGTACATACAACAAGTGTTTCGTTCTTCACCAGTTGAACCTTTTCAGGAGATTGGCAACAACAAAACCACTGTTGGGGAACAAACTGGACTAGAGTTCACTAGAACATGTGGGAGACTCTGGAGTTGACTAGAAGAAGGTTCTTTGCTCTAATGAGGCCAAAGTTGAGCTTGTGGTCATCAGACTAGATGCTAAGTTTAGCAGATGACAAAAAACTGTGGATTATCAGAAACACACCAGCCCCACTGTGAAACATGTCGGGAGTGAAGGCTTCTAACTTCTTCAAAGGAGTCTTAGGTGTCTTGGTGGCCCACCTAACGCATCCCTTTCTTGCTCGGTCATTCAGTTTTAGAGGACGTCTTGCTCAAGGCAGATTTCCGAATTTGCCACATAAGGATGTCCAGTGACTTGGAAATTTTCTTGACTTATACCTTTCAATAACCTTTTCATCGAGTTGGTTTGAGTGTTCTTTAGTCTTCATGGAGGACTGATTCACCCGTGACTGGACCTTCACGATACAGCTGTCTTTATACCACAATCACTTGAGTCACATTCACCAGAGATCCTCAAAAACAAAGTGACTGTGAACACAGAGACCAAATAGGGAATCCACCAAGACACCTATGACTCCTCTGAAGAAGCCAATCAGATGATCTCCATTTCACTGTGTGTCTTCTAGCAGCAGTCTTGAATGAGGCGAGTTACTGATGCAATCACTATCTTTCATTTTGTATTCTTAATCGATTGACATTACTTTCTAGAAATCAGCTTTTAGTTTGACACGAAAGAGTTTTTTTTGTAAATCTTTGTCAAAAAAAACAAACTGACATTGATTTGGGAAAACTTTAAGGGGCATAGGGTAAGAAATTTACCCCGGTTTAGCACAAACTGGTCCATTTTCAACTGGTTCAACCTCTATTCTGTCGTCTTGCAGATGGACCGAAGGACGTGGTCATCTCAGGGCCCGACTCTCTCGAAATCGGGGTCACGGCGAGCTTCAGGTGCTCGGCCGAGTGCACCCCGGCCTGCACCTTCACGTGGACTCTGTACGGCAGCGACGTAAAAGGCGGCGTCATCGACATCACCGTGAACCGCCACATCTCCAGCGAGTCCATCAGCTGCCGGGCCGAGAACACCGTCACCGAGAGGACGGCGTCGGTCAACGAGACGCTCGGCGTGTCAGGTGGGCCGCTGTCGGAGGTCTGAACGTGTTTGGACGTAGTTTAAAGCTGCTATCTGTTCTTATTCGTGTGCTTTTTGTTCACTGCAGAGCCTCAGTGGTGCGGCTGTTGACTCGCCGGACGATCAAGTGGTTCCTGGTGACCTGCCCAGCTAACAGCTGAGCACACACACCTATACGTCGGTAATCTTTGTCATTAATGACACTTATTGGAAGCGTATGGCGGTGTTTGCTCAGGCATTGTGCTCTCTGACCAGGGTGTTTCCCTGCCTTGGACACAATGCATGCTGGGACGGCTTCCAACCTCTTTGTGACCCTCAACGAGATTAGACCCGTGCTGGGAAAAAAATAAAACGTTTGGATTGAATTACATAAAGCTTGTTTAGTTTCTATCACCAATAACTCCCATTTGTCTTGGGCGGTTGTCTTTAATAAACAATGAGCTGATTTGCTTTCGCTGATTAACTGCTGTTAATTTATCCACCTGCGATGACGTAGCGTTAAACTCAAAACGAGCCGACATGACAAAATACAGCTTTATTTGTAGCTCAGGTCACTGCGAACTGACCATCACGTGCATCTGCAGGATCTCTTCTCTTTCCCGCTTTAGCGAACGGAGCGTCAGGAAATATTTGGCAGGTTTAGGAAAAAGAAAAGACATGCCGAGCGGTGAGTCCGGGGTTTTCTGCATGTAATCCCGCTGCTGTTTCACATTTTTCTTTTCCTCTCTCCACTGTAACTGTCCAACAAAGACAAAGAATAGGGTGCGTATACCTGTTTATGCTTTAACACTGCATGGAAGGCTGGAAATTCAGACTCGCTGTTCTAGCATCCAAGTCGGACGTCTTTGATTTTATGAAGCACTCATATTCAGTGTGGAGTATTTTCCCCTCTCTGTGTGATTTATTCCTCATTTCCAGCGTTGCCCGTTCATGAATTTTTAACCACCTACAGATGCCTTAACCTCTGCCGGTCCGGGTGTTTTATGCTCCTGTGACGTTTTTATTCTCTGTGGGCTCATTTTTCACTGCAACATAAAGTCCTGCACCTCCGTGGAAACAGCACAACCATGACTGGAAGTTGAGGGAACTCAGGGATGTCCTCTGTGCAGCATGACATGGTTACATCGCCATAAATGATCAAATAATTTTGTACATGTCTCCCATCTGCACAGCCTGCAGCGAAACCTAAAAGAATTTTTGTCACGTGAACGTTGGTCGTAGCTGAGTCACAAATAGCGTCACGGTTGCATCAGTGATTGCAGAATTTTTTGTTTTTTACAGAATCTAGTGTGAGTAAACTGTTTATTTTTTGTAGAATAAAGAGATTTTGTGAAATAGGATTTTAAGCTTAGATTTGTTTTAGTTTCCTGATGACATGTCTCGTCCCAGATGAGCAGTTCAAAGACCATCACAAGATTAAATAACTGATAGTTTTTGAGTTTTGACAGTTTCTAGCTCTGATAAATGGTGGAAGTTTTTTAAAGCCTTTCAAACTTGCCGGCGTGAGTTGGGGTTCAAATGGTTAACGTGCGCAATAAAGATGCCCTAAAATATCTGATTTAACTTTTGTACAGGAACAGGTTTCTTCACAGATTCTTTTTTTAATAAAATGCATCAAAGTCTAGACAACAGAGTGTGAATTTCCAGCCTCCAACTCTGAACAAACGCGGCGTAAAGAGGACAGACGTCCGTCTTTCCGATGGCTCAGCAGTCCAAATTCACTGGAAGTGAACGGAGTGAAAGTTTATTCAGTATTAGAATCTAATTAAATTGCTTAATTGGCTTTGAAATCCTAAGTCTGTCGAGGCTGCGGCTTTGCCTGAAATCCAAGCGTCACACGCCGTACTTCTTCTGCAAAGCGGCGACAGACGACGCGTCCAGCTCGGCTCGGCGAAGAAACTCAAACAGTTCTTGAAGAACTGCGGAGAAAAGAAAAAAAGTGAAGCGGAGGAATTATCAACATGCTGGAATGTGGGGATGACAAGCGGCAGAGCGTGGAGAGGAATTCACCTTTCTTCTCCGAGGACGACATGAACATGACGGCCATGTCGAAGCGCCGCACGCTCGCTAGACTGCTGAGGGTCTCCATGGCGACGGCCGGAGCTTCATTCCTGCGAAAACGCTGACACGTTATTATATAACAACAGCACATGGGTTCTACACGCTTAGAAACCTGTTTCTACTCGATCTCTCTATGTAAGAAGTCTGTTCAGTACTTCCTGTGTCTTGTCTTATAATAATAATAATAATAAAACAATAATAACTTTATTCATAGAGCACCTTTTAACCCTCACATACTGCTCATATTTTATGCGTTCACAGTTTGGTTCCTGTCATGAATTCCCTCATAGTCAGTGTCTATACCAAATGTTAACCTACAGATCTATTTAGAATGTCTACAAAGCCGATGTAACATTAACAAAAAGTACACATAAACATGGCCTGTACAGCTTCACAGTTTCAAGATTCCCTAAAACCACCATTTTCCCTGATTTGACCCACACTGGTGGATCTAAAACCCGTCTCAGTGGATATCTGGGTCAAATTTGACCCCAAATACGAATATTTGTAGCGCCTGTACAAAAGTTTAAAATTGTAATTTCATGTCATTTTTGTGTATTTTGCCTCACTTTAGGAAAAAGTCATCAAATTTCAGGCTAAAAGGAATGACGTTTAGGGTATTTCTACTGCTGTGAAGTGTCAAAACGGATCAAATTTGACCTGAAGCAGCATGTAAGGGTTAAAAATGTACCTTGAGAGATGAGACAAAGCTCAAGAAGACAATATTACAACAGAAAGTCAGTAAAAACAGAAAGAAAACAACAACAAAAAGACAATTAAAATACAGTTAAACACAATAAGATTCAAAATGCAAAACTACTAAATTTTAATCTAATTAAATTTAGACAACAGATAAACAATGATTTAAAAAAAAAATTAAAGCACCAAAACTGCCTGAGCAAATTAAAGGAAAAAGAAAAAATACAAATATGTGGGATAAGAGCAAAATAATAAACACAATAAAAGGAAAAAAAAAGGGAATATGTGGGATAAGAGCAAAATAATAAACACAATAAAAGGAAAAAAAAAGGGAGTAAAACTATAAACATAAGGGTTCAAAAAAAAAAGTAAAAGACTATAAAAGAGGAAATGTGGCTGTGTTGAATCACAACAACAAGAATCTAATATGGATGATATTATTCAGTGAAACAGTTCAGATGCAGATGTTTTCTTTCTATCCGCTGCATTTAAAGACTTACTCGATGTAGAACTCGTGCAGCGTCCTCAGGATCTTGTTGAGGATGTCGGGTTCGAGGGAGTTCTGAAAAATCTTTGCGTACGCTTCGGGCTCGATTTGCTGCAAACAAAAGCAAGAAGAAGGACGAGAAGTTCAGCCGAAACAAAACACTGATGGGTTTTATTTACTAGTTCCTCTTTATTTTGATCTCAAAGCAAACACGACGACTAAAAGGTGTTTTCAGACGGCGTAAAGGTCTCGTCTAAAACTATTAGAATATTGTGAACAAGTTGAGACTCATGAGCTATAAGCTACAATCATCAAAATTAAACCAAAGGCTCAAAATATTTCACTTTATGTGCAATAAATACAGGATATGTGAAAGTTTCCTGTTTTACTGAATTAAAATGTGAAAAAAAAATAACTTTTTCATGAGATTCTAGTTTGTTGAGCTGCACTCGTGGCTCCTGTTTTCATCCTGTTGATTAAGTTTGACCAGATTTTCCACAATACAGAAACAAACAGTAACAGAACTATAAGTAATCGCTGCAGCAACAAGGTCCCTCAGTGGTTAAAAAGCTGTTTATCCTCCAAAGACCAACACTGGCTCCTACTGATAATAAACTGAGCACTGATTGGCTCCTGCAGTGCAACTGGACAGAACCAGAGTGCAGAAACTGGAAAATATAACAGATTATATTCATTTAACGTTGATAATTGTAGAAAATAGGCATGAACTGTATGCAGCTATATGTTTGTAGGTTGATGGTTCATTTAGTTTCTCATTTTCTGATCCAAAAGTTTGAAATTTAACGGTCCAGTTTTCAGGTGATTTGAAATGTTTCTCAAACCGTCTCACTGAGAACGGCCGGTACCGCTCACCTTCAGGTATCTGTAGATGACTCTGGGCTGGTTCCTAGGCTAAGGCCGGTACCGCTCACCCTCAGGTATCTGTAGATGACCCGGGGCTGGTTTCTAGGCTAAGGCCGGTACCGCTCACCTTCAGGTATCTGTAGATGACCCGGGGCTGGGTTCCTAGGCTAAGGCTGGTACCGCTCACCTTCAGGTATCTGTAGATGACCCGGGGCTGGTTTCTAGGCTAAGGCCGGTACCGCTCACCCTCAGGTATCTGTAGATGACTCTGGGCTGGGTTCTAGGCTAAGGCCGGTACCGCTCACCCTCAGGTACCTGTAGATGACTTCGGGCTGGGTTCTAGGCTAAGGCCAGTACCGCTCACCCTCAGGTATCTGTAGATGACTCGGGGCTGGGTTCTAGACTAAGGCTGGTACCGCTCACCTTCAGGTATCTGTAGATGACTCGGGGCTGGTTTCTAGACTAAGGCTGGTAACGCTCACCTTCAGGTATCTGTAGATGACTCGGGGCTGGTTTCCGATCTTGCGGAGGTCGGCCTCCAGCTGGAAGCTGTTGCTGGGTGGAGGAGGAAGGTCTGTTTCTGCGGTTGGTGGTTCAGGAGGATGAACGGTTTCCTCCTTTGCTGCTTCTTTGGTCTGTTTACTGGCAGGAAACCTGGTGAACAGAAGCAGGACACATGTTTACTTGGTGGTAATAAAACACTTGATGCTTCATAGACAAGCTGATGAACAAATAATGAATCTGCTCCACTCACTGATCACATGTGAGCGATGGAGCGTCTGAAATCTCCTCGATTTTGATCATCTTGGCGCTGGGAGACGTGGACAGCGGCGACGATCCGTCCTCGGCCTCCTTCATCGCCTCCTGGACGACCGGTTCAGGAACCGAGACTTTTCCGCTGACTTCCTCGATGTTTATCCTCCTCAGAGGTTTCTGAGGAACGAAGAAGAAGAGAAAGTCTGTGTTTGTCGAGTTTTATTTGAAATAAAAAGCAGCTGGTTGCTGATGCTGATAATCCAGTGAAGGGAAATGAGAATGACAAATGTTGAGTCTGTTCTGCCACCTGCTGGACAAAGAGTGTTAAAGCATGTAAAGACAGGAACTTCATTTATGTTAATTTATCTGCTAAATACAATTTAAAGTAAGGATAAAAATCACTGTCACGTTACCAACCACAAAAATAAACAGATCATTTTCCACAATAATTATTTTTTCAATGATTTACTTAAACTTTAAGTCCTAAAAATGTAAAATATAAAGACTTGTGACACTTTCCTAGAGGACAAAGTTATGAAAGATGTCCTATTTCTTTAACAATAGCCAAAATTACACCATTTATCAAAGCTACAAACTGTAAAAACAGAAAGAATCATCAGGTTTATGGAAAAACGAATCTTAAAAATTGCAATATGTCATCAAAATTACTTTCATTTTTTTTTAAAGTTTAAAAAAACAAAATTTGGCACTTCGATCTGCAGTAAACATACACATTTAAAACAGCAAACGCTTGAATGTTTACTCAATGAGACACTACAATGAATCATAAATGTTTGTTAACTTTCTGTCTGTATAAATGATGTAACATTGAAACTTAAGATTTTTTCCCAAAACTTCCAACTTCACAGCAAACTTGTAAATTAAAGGATCCCATCATTTGCATTCACACAATATGAGAGCTTTCAGTATCACACATGCGCTAATCTCTGCCTTTATTACCCTCGGTGTAGCAGAATGCAGCCACACTAATCTGAAGAGTTTCTAAGTGGCTTCTGCACTGCAGGGAGAGACTAATGAGAGACGATTACAACTCACAGTTGAGCGCAGATGTTCTGGTTTGTCTATGGGCTGCACTGTTCTCCTCTGTGAGCTCTCCTCTGTTTGAAGAAGGCCGCCGGAGTCCTACGACAAGAAAGGAAGAGAAAGAAAGTCTCTAAAGGTCTAGCTCGCCATGTAGCATTGTTTCTTCTGCTGTGATCATGTTACTAAACTAGTAATTCGGCACTGAAACTCACAATCTGCAGTTTCTGGAGTTCGTTCAGGGCCTGTTTGTTCCCTGGTTCCAGCTTCAACACCTGCTGAAAGTCTGTGACACACACAGCAGAGGTTAATATGAGAAGAATCCAGCTGAATCCACTGCTGCGCTGAGGACAGTGCTGTTGTGTGGCGCACCTTGTTTGGCCTCCTCCAGTTTTCTCAACGCCACTCTGGCGGTGCCTCGGCGAGCGAAAGCCTTGGAGTAAGTGCTGTCCAGGGAAATGGCTTTAGTGCAGTCCTCCTCTGCCTCCTTATACCTGCAGGAGGAACAAAAAAAATCATGAAGAGATGGTCTGTTATGACTGGGCTGCCAACAAACTATATCACTCCAAGCGGTTTTTGGACAATTTTCTGTTTCTGACACATTTGTACTCACTGTAGGCTAATTGTTTGGAAATTTTAAACCATGCTGCGTCTATTCTATTGCTCAAGTATGTTTTATTTTGCTTTTAATTGCTCTAATTTGCTTCCATACAGAGTCAGCACTGCCTGCAGTTCAGCTGAGAAAGTCCTTGAACTTTTGCCACATGGCTGTTGGTTGCAGTTGAGTCACTAATTGGGTTTTGATTGTGCCTAGAAGCGACGAATTGTTTTATTTTCTACAGAATCTAGTTTGTGGCTGTTCATATTTGGCAAGTTTTTTAATGAGATTCTCGGAATAAAGTGATTTTGATTAAATTTTAAGCTACAATTCGGTTACATTTCCCGATGTTTCCCAACGATTCTCTCTGTTTTTGCAGTTTCTGGCTCTAATAAGTGGTGTCATTTTGCTGTTTTTTTAAATGCAACATGCTTTTTGTACCCACACACAGCTAAAAAAAAACAAAAAAAACATCAACTTTGGTTCTATCGATCACCTCTACTGGAAAACAACCTCCAGCTTCTCTTGGCCTCTTGGATGAGAGGTGAAATGTCAAGCAAGTTCAGCTGCTATGATTAATCTACGAGAATAACCGTGACCTGGATGACTGAGAATCTTCACAGACAACCTCCAGTGTTGTTCTAATTCCTTTAATATTCTCCCAAGAAAAACTAAGTCCTTACTTCTCCAGTTTGAGGAAGGCCATGGCTCTGTTGGCGGGCAGGAGGACGTTCATGCTGTCGGCCTCCATCCCTCTGGTGTAGCACTCCACGGCTGCTTCATACTTTCCTTCTTTGAAATAAGCGTTTCCCTAAAAGACACATACAAGAACCATCGTCACCTGGGAGTGATAGTTTGAGTAACAGCCGGTTGTAAAGCAAAGTGGAAAGCGGTGCTAAAACTCATCAGGTAGTTGATAAACTGCAGCAAAACCTACTCTGTCTTTCTGGAGAACTGCCTCCTGTCGTCTCTGCTGCTCCTCCACCAGTCTCTGCTGATCAGGATCCACTGTGGGAGCTTCCTCCTGCAGCGATGCGTCACTCTGGACGGTAGCAGCCTGATGTCCGTGGGCCTGAACCAGTCAGAACACAAGAGGAACATTAGAGACTGAAGGCCCAAGATATGCACCACAATAAATAACTGTGCACTGACCTCCTCTCTGATTCTTTTAACTTCATTCTGGGCTTCCACATTCCCCGGATCAAGCTTAAGGACCATCTCGTAATCTGTTCAGAAGCAGATTTATGCTGTTATCTTGGTGCACTCAAGTTCAAATACATCGTCTTCCTCTTTGAACTGCTCAATCACTGTATTGTTCGTTATTTTCACACTCAGCTGAGAATGCAAAGTGGAAAATAAATGGTGTCATCTATAAATCTTTTGCACCCATCACTGTGCCTCGCTGTCAGGACGATGCGTTCACTGTAGTGGTCCAGACCAGGTTCACATCAAATATGCTGGACTCCATTTGGCTCACCTTCATGCTCTTCAGCAAAGTTTCATGTTGCAATTTTGTTCAGGTTTTTTCCATTTATCTGGCAGTTCTTCTCTGTGTGCAGCCATGATGCAGAGAAAGTTCTCATTTCATAATCATGTTCATGCAATTAGGCTCATTGGAAACCATCCAGCCATCCATTATCTATACACCGCTTAATCCTCACTAGGGTCATGGGGGGCTGGAGTCTATCCCAGCTCAGGGTGAAGGCAGGAGACACCCTGGACAGGTCACCAGTCTATCACAGGACTACACTTAGAGACAGACAACCAAGCACACTCACATTCACACCTACGGACAATTTAGAATCACCAATTAACCTCAACATGTTTTTGGACTGTGTGGGAGGAAGTCGGAGAACCCGGAGAGAACCCATGCTGCACGGGGAGAACATGCACAAAGATCCCGGGTGTCCTCACTGGGACGCGAACCAGCGACCTTCTTGCTGCGAGGCAACGGTGCTAACCACCGAGCATCCTTGCAGCCTGACTATGAAAATGAAAAATGTATTTAAATTTTCATGGAAATCAAATAACATATTGTTTTTTACTTTTTAATACCCGTGTCTGAAAAAAAAATCAAATGACAACAAGAGTGACTCAAATAAAGAGTTTTTTGTGTTAAAGTGTTGGATTTATAAATTTTTTTTTTCATTTTTTAAATTTTGGATTCTCACTTGGACAATAAAAAGAATAACGAAGACACAGTTTCTGTTTGTTACCTTCTAATGCAGATTCATATTTCTTCAGTGCAAACCGAGCTGCTCCTCTCCGCGCATACGCTTTGACGTATTTGCCGTCAAGAGCGATCGCCAGGTTGCAGTCGGACTCTGCCACAGCGTACCTGCAGAGGAAAACCCCATGTTCATATACAGATCTGGAAAACATCCTTTACAGCTCACTGCAGCAGCGATACTTACTTTTTTAGCCTGAAGAAGGAGGTCGCTCTGTTGGTGGGAAGCACCGGGTTGTACGGATCAGCCCCCATCCCTCTGGTGTAACATTCAACGGCCTCGTCGTACTTCCCGTCTTTGAAAAACTTGTTACCCTGAAAACCAAAAGTGTAATCCACTTGAGCAGGATGTTATTCTCAATGTCTCTCTTCAGTTTTTTTTTTGCAATACTTCTCATACAATATTTACCTTTTCCTTCTCAGCCAGCGCTTTCTCCTGATCAACAGCAGCTTCCTCTGAGTCCGACTCGTTTGACTCGTGACATTCCTCGTTATCCATTTCTTCCAGAGCCTTGTCCTGCCACCAGGAAGAAAATAAAACACTGTAGGGAACTACCGTTTAATTTAAAGTACATTTTCTAAGCTCGCAAAGAACAGCTTCAGTTACCACATCAAACTTGTCCCAGGATCGATAGTCGTATGCTTTTATTTTGGATCCTTGTTTGGTCTCTTCTGCCTTTGCGTCACCGTTGCTGTTAGGCTCCGTTTTCTTCTTCTTTTCCCGTTTCTTGGTTTTGTAGTCCTTGTTGCGCACAGGTGGGAGTTTTTTCTAAATCCAGAAACAACAAGATCATGAATCCTGATAGATATTCACCCAGAGCATGAACCTGAAAGGTGGACTACTCAGTGAGATTAATAGCTTAGCAAGGTATGTTGAGCCTAAAGCCAGAGTTCTACTAGCTTATCTTAATTACTATTCTCCAACAGCATTCCTCTCTTTCTTTATTTGCCATAACAGTGCTTTTCAACATAACATTTCTAAATATACTCCATACCTCTCCGTGATCACAAACACTCACAAGACCTGAATTAACAAAGGAAGTTAATAACCAACCAACGTCAGACTAACTGAAATAAGCCTGGTTTGTTTGGTAAAGTCTCCTGAGACTGACGTGTGTCTCCAGCAGCACACACCTGGACCTCCTGGACTCCTCCGGTCCTCAGCTCCTCGTCCCTCCTCTTCATGTCCGTCTCCCAGCTCTCCAGATCCTTCATGAAGCTTTGCAGATCGTGCGCATTCTGCTGCATCTGAAGCTGCAACTCAACGGCTTTGTTCCCTCCGGACATGTCGCCCTCCCTGTGAAACACACATTTGTTTTTGGGAACAAACTCTGAACACTTCTCGTCTTTCAGTCCGAGCAGCAGCCGTTAGGAAAAACACGAGAATCACGCTGCGGCTAGCAGCTAGCTAGCTAGCTAGCAAAAACGCCACATATTCAGAAAAAACAGCGACTTAAAACGACTCTGCGGTGACTTAAACCCTGTAGGATACCTTCCGTTTCTCTCCCGGGTCCACAGTTAAAATGCAGCTGCAGTTAGTTTGCCTAAAGAGTACAAAGTGTCGTTTTTCACAGCTTTCTGTTTATGTTGGGAGCCATGACAGCGGAGTCCCAGCAGCCTTTGCGGCACCGGAAGTAACCAAAGATCGTCTAGGTTTTGGAAAAAGATAATCCAGCAAACATTTATTCATTTGTTAGCATCTATGTTTGTTGGGTTGTAATGCAAGAAAAAGCAGTTTAAAATAATAATAATAATAACTACACGTAAAATGAAACATTTCACTGCCTTTTTGTTATCATTTTGATAATTATGGCTATTTGTTTTGTTGAAAATAAAAAGTCCAGTATCTCAAAATATTACAATATTCCCTTCGATCGATCAAAACAAGGACTAACAGTACAGAAATGTAATACATATTTTCTTTATATTAATATTCGTTTTAGTTATGGTTAATAAATTCTGTTCAGAGTTATCACCTTAAAAAACAGGGAAAGAACACATTCTGAATAGACGATCTTTATTCATAAAACTGCGTCTAAAAGCTAATATTTTATAGTATTTTTAAAGATAATTATTTTGATGTGACAAATTATTACATTTTATGACTTTTAGTATACGAGTATAAGTTTGCTACGTCGTAAATAAAAATTAATATCCGTTACCTTTGACCCACAGCGACCACGTGATCCACCAAACAGCGATGACCTCTCCTGCTAGCTAGCGGCGGCTAATCAGGCTAGCGTGTCCAAAGTGTCTCCCACCATGGACCAGACTAAGCAAGAGGAGGACTACGGATACGACCTGTTCCCGGAGAGAAAGCCGAGGACCAAGAAACTGACCCTCGCCCAGAGCCTGTTCACGTTCAACCACAAGTGTCAGGTCATGTTGAATTTCGCAATGGAAACCAGTAAGTAGCTGCTGCTAGCTGCGTTAGCCGTTTAAAGGTAAAGCTAGCTGTCAGTGAATGCTAACTGTTGTTCCACCTGTGCACCCCTCAGGTCCTTATGCCAAACTCCTCCTCAGTGCCATGAAGAATTCAGGATGGTACGTGTCATTTAGTGACTCATCTTCATCATATTTGACTTTCTAGTGTCAGTTTCACTTTCCTGCAAATCCTGGGTTTGTTCCTTGTTTACACATAGCACACAGCTATTGCTATTTAACCCCCTGTTTTTTTGCTCCTGCCACATTTTTGCTCACTGTGGGATCATTTTAAACTTCTATAGAAACGGCACATCCACGGCAAAAGAGTAGAGAGAACTCAAAAATGTCCTTAGTGCAGTATGGCACAGTTATAATGCCATAAATCATTAAAAAAAAGCAAAACAAAACTTAAATTTCTCTGATTATTATTATTTTTTGAATAAATAAAACCTGGAATCAACACATGCAACATTTTTCCAAATACCCACAGATGTTACCAAGATGGGAAAAATTAATAGTGGCTCTATGTAATATAGATAATTTACTAATTACATTTTTACAACCTCCACAAACCTTTTTGCATCACTCTGCACATCACCTCTAGCAAAATATTTCACCATCTTCAAACAAGTTGTTTCTTTGCTCACTGTTTTTGAGCCATGCCGCTTTTATTTTATTGCTCAGGTATGTTTTATTATGCTTTACTGTCTCGAATTAGTTTTTATATTTGCCTCCTCTCTGCTCTGTGTAAACACAGCCTGCAGTTCAGCTGAAAAGACCCTGAATTTTTGTCACACCACTGTTGGTTGCAGCTGATTCACTCATGGCTTATTAGTTGTGCAGAGAAACCCAGAATTTTTTGTTTTTTACTCAATCTGTAGGATACAAACTGTTTATTTTCGAAAAGCACATGTCGATGAAATGACGCTGATGAAATGACGCTGATGAAATGACGCTGATGAAATGTCGCGATTTCAGGTTTAGATTTGGTTAATTTTCCAGACAGAACTGCGCATCGCATGTGATTAGTTCGAGGACTGCCAGAAAGCTGAAAGCCAGATAGATCTTTCTGTTTTTAGTTTCTTGCCCGGATGAATCGTGTAATTGTGGCAACTTATTTTAAAGGGGTTACAAGAGATCAAAACCCCAGAAAATCAGAAATTAAGTCATCAAAAGAACTGTTAAAAACTTCACCTCAGGATTGCAAATTGGTCTTTTTGGTTTCTTTTGAAAGCATCTACTACATACATGCAACAAAACTCAAATTGAACTCATTTGTAGCATTCAGATGAGCAAATTGCAAACACTTCAGGACAAATGTTATCCAGTGGATCCGAAGCAGGGTTTAAACTCTGGTGTGGGTGATTTTACAGATTCATTAATTCATGTTGTCCACCTTGTGTGTGAAGCTACTGATGGTGTTTTATGTGGTAACGCACCATGACGTGATTTAAATCTGTGGACACTGACCTGAAGCTTGACTTTAGAAAAATAATCATACTGTGAAAATCACTATTAGATGTTTTCCCTCAAATGTGTGTCTGCATCACTTTGCTTTTCTCTCGCAGCCAAGCGTTTAAAGACCGACACTTCTCCTGTGAAGACTGCGACGGGACGGTCAGCGGCGGCTTCGATGCAGCTTCTTCTCAGGTAGCAAAGATACCTGCAGCAACCAAAAAAACACCCTCATGGTTGTGCTGGAATATTCAAAGCGCTCCACTTGTCTGTTTCCAGATCGTTCTGTGTCAGAACAACGTCCACCAACAGGCTCACATGAACCGAGTGGTCACGCACGAGCTCATCCACGCCTTCGACCACTGCAGGGCCAAAGTGGACTGGTTCAACAACTACAGGCATCTGGCTTGTTCTGAGGTGAGTCGCCGCATGACGTCTATTTATTGTAAGCAGTCGTGTTAAATGTGTTCCCTTTGTCGTAAAACATTTGCAAAGTAAATTACGTTATCGTGTGTCATTTAAATCCACGTTTATTTACGAGCAGTCTCCTCTTTCACTACAAAACGGGGACCCGCTAATAGTAATAAACAGCTGCACAAACTTGTGTTTAAAAACTCCACGGTGACTTTTTAATATGGCAGAAAGAAGAATTTTAACCTGGTTTCAACTTTAACGAAGCACGGACAGTTGTGACTTTCACAGTTTTCCCCCTAATAATAATAATAATAATAATAATAATAATAATAATGATAGGGGTGTTGAATAATGAGGGTGTTGACTGGTTCTTCCTGGAAATTCAAATCTTCTAACAAGTCACAAATGTCACTTCCCCCTAAAAAATAAAAGATAGCTCCCTGAAACAGCTCAGCTCACTAGTTTTTATCAAATGCTACTTAAACAAGAGCAAACAAACTTTGATTTAGAACTCATTTAGTCGGCCTGAGGTTTTTTTTTTTAAGGGATGATATTGTTGGACATTAAGGACATTGTTGAACTGCCACCAACATTTGAATAATGAAGTGAAGATGGCGCTGGTGAGGTCGGCTGCTGTCGTACCTGCTCCTTGACACTTATTTCATTTTATTTTATTTTTATTTATGTTTTTCTTGGTGCAAAATACATTTCACTGCACATTGTACCGTGTATGAATGTGTATGTGAAAAATAAAGCTTATAAGCTTATCTTATGTTATCTTATGTTATCTTAACTTAACTTATCTTATCTTATCTAAACTGCTCCCCAATAATTTAGTTGTTGCCATTTCTTATTATTAAAAAAAACAAACATAAACTTATTTCACTTCTTGACATTTGTATCTCTGTTAATGATCTTAGTATGTAGTCATAAAACAGATCTTAGTATCTAATTAGTAGAATTTACTATTTATTTAAGCGTACACCAGCACAGACCTTAGTTATGTGGTTATGTTGCACTGTCACATGTTTCTCTCTTTTCTCACTGTACCTGTGTTTGCATTCCTACATTTAAATCGGCTGTAGAAGTCGTCTCCCTTTCACCAATTATTTTCCCGATATTCTGCAAACTAAGCCGTGCACTTAAAGTAGCACAAACTGTATGAAATGCGTTACCATGGGAACCTACATGCATTAAGCTGGTGATGCACTAAAAGCATAAGTATGTTTTTTATTAGTTAGTGCTGATTTGCTGCCAAATCCATTTTACACTGCTGGCACTGCAGCTATTCAAACCCAAGTTAGAAAATTGAGCAGTCTGTCGGTATTTAATACAGAGAATATTAAGCGGTAACATTAACTTCACTTTGTTTTGGCCAAAAACGAAAGTGATTTCCATGAAACTTTTATTATGGGGCAGTGTCAGACCTCAGTGCACTTCTATTAGTTTAAAGTTTAACAGCTCTAATGTGCAGCTGTCATGTTAAAAAAAAAAAAAGCAGGTTTGGGTTTTGTTTAGCCAGCTAACTCAAACGAAAGCCTGGATATGTTGAACATGCATCATAGTGCACCTCACCTCTCTAAGGGAAGTAGGAGTTTTGTTTGTTTGTTTTGCCTTTTCCAGATTCCTGCCTTCTGCTTTAATGTTAGATCAGAGGTGATTTGAGGCATTTTATTGAGACCTTGAGTTGCATTTTCTCCTTTATGTTTTGTTGGAGCTGAAAAGCTACACTAATCATGCACAGACATATGTGACCCCTCTGAGGTTTTGTTTGCTGATTAATCAAAGACTTTCTTATTGTTTCAGATTCGTGCTGCTAACCTCAGCGGAGACTGCTCCTTTACCAACGAACTCACCAGGTTCAACTTTGGCTTGAAGGAGCATCACCAGGTAGTCGCTCTGGGTTAAATACAGTACGTTACCTGCACCTTCCAGCTTGTGGCTCTAATCTAAAACAAACCCCTCTGTTCTCTCTGGACAGGAGTGCGTCCGAGGCCGAGCCCTGCGCTCCATCCTGGCCGTGAGGAAAATCAGCCGCGAGGAGGCGGAGAAGATTGTGGACGAGGTGTTCGACTCGTGCTTCAACGACCACGCGCCTTTCGGGCGAATCCCGCACAGCAGGAAGGAGGCCAAGTTCGCCAACAGAGATTACGCGAACAGAGATCGATATTATGCAAACCTTTAGCGTCGTCACGTCCTCGTTAAAACTCCCGAAGGTGCTCTGCGTTAAACGGCCTCAACGGAATGACTGCGCGTTGAATGATCGCGCCCCTTCACAAGGGGTTCGTCCTTGAAGCGATGGAAGGAAGGAAGGAAGGAAGGAAGGAGCGGTACATTTCATCTTCAACCTTCGTGGACATTTATTCTGTGCGACAGGATTGTAAGAGCCGATGATCATTTGCTCTCACCTCAGTGATTTTCGTCGTTTGTTTTTAGGTGATTTAATGGGTGCTTCTGAAGGAAAACATTTCCTTTCTGTCCATCAGTGCTTGCTGTGAACGCGAGGTCTTCCCTCCACTCTGACCTCCGTTAAACTCCTGTACATAGAGCTGGTTGTGCTGACAGAATCAAACTGCATTTGATAAATAAAAGTTTGATTCCACCATAAAAGTTGGAAGTCTTTTTCCTCACTCGTCTCAAAGTTGTGTTTTAAGGACAAGAGTTGCGTCCCGACCTTGCTCCGAAATGTTTGAATTTATGACTTGCCAAAGAAGGATGAGTGATTCTAACACGCTGCGTCTTAATCCTGAGAGAGGATCCTTCAAATTAACATGTGAGACGAGTAAAGCGGGAAAAGTTCTTCGGCGACAACACGGTCAACTTTGTTCACATCTGTGCAGCCACTGTAAAATGTCATTGCTGACATCTTTATTGGACATTAGCATTTAAAGAATCTCGTATCCCTCCGCAGAGATTAATGAGGGAAAAAGTTATAAGGGAATTAGCCTCATAATCCTCCTCTTCCTCCTCCTCCTCCTCCTCCAGTCCTGTCTATCTCAAAGACAACAGCCTCTGCATCGTAATCACAAAGTCACTCTGGTGTTGGAGTGTAATATACCAAACTCAATATTCTCCACTACAGACGCGCAGGATGAGCGCGGGCCCGGAACAACAAGGCGAGTGGGTGGGACGGGACGAGCGAACGGGAGATTAGGTTAATTTTAGAAGCTTAGCAGGGAAAATGATGAAAACGGCCTTCAAGGCGGCGGGATTAATGCGAGGCAAACACAAGAAGACAAAAGACGAGGAATGATATTTGGATTTGTGCAATGTCATACAGCCAGGCGGGCTGAATGAAGGAATCATACGGAACAATAGAATTACTGGTGCAATTGTGAACATATCAAATGCGAGCTGCCAAATGCTTCTGATACAATTAGACATGCAAAACAAAGCCGGGAATCCGTACGCGGAATTACTTCACGCCCAGGACTGAGATTTAACGAGGTCGAGAGTCCAAACAAGCCCACCTCCGTATAGATGTACTCGTTCTTAAATGACAGGAGTCCGCTGACGATGGCGGCTAAATGACCAGGTTGCTAAAAACTGGAGGAAGGGCCCAGTGTGATATCGCTTAAATATCAAATTATTCAAAACTGAATCACCTCTCAGTAATCGTATTATTTCCAAGTTAGCCAGCAAAGTGTTTCGTCCGATGATCAATCCAAACGAGATGCACTGGAGAGACTATATTGAAAACAGATGCCCCAAAGTGGCAACAAAACAGCTGTGATTCCCAAGTAGCATAACTGCAAGAACGTGCTTATAATAAAATGAGATACGAACAGCAGAACGTTCTCAGTTTTGGACCTGTGGCTATTTATGTCTGCACCATGTCTCCACATGGAAAAGAATTGATCAAGAATGTGATTGTGAGGCTTCATAAAGATGGAAAAGGACACAGGAGGATAAACTAAAATCTAGTGAAAGCACAGTTGCAATCAGGAGGTGCATGGTCCCACTAATCAGGGCTGCAGTGGTCGTCCTCCTGAAACGACGACACGCCCAACGAATACATCCCTAAAAAACAGACAAGCAGATGCTAAATAAAGTTTTCATGGCAGCAAAGAACACTACATATCATCAACATTTATGGACGACATCCAAGAAAATCACCTTTGCTTGCTGGTAAACAAACAAACTGCAGGATGAAACTTTGCTAAACTATTTTAAAAAGAGCCTGATGAATGTTGGGAGCATAATTTATTCTTTGGTCAGATGAGACCAAAATAAAAGTGTTTGGCTCAGATGGAGTCGAGCGTATTTGGTGTGAATCTTGCCAGACATGGAGCTCGGCGAGTCAGAATGACCTGTCATCATCGCAATATTTTTTATTAAATGTTTTTGTTGTTATCATAAAATTGCCACCTAGACAAAAACTGCACAACATGATCAAGGATTTTAGTCAGTTCTTCTCTGATTTTGAATTTTTAATGTAAATATACGAGTTTTGCTCATTTAATTAACCTTAAAACGTCTATTTTTAATTATTTTTTTTAGTTTTAGACGACTTTAGAATTCAAAAAGTTTCTATAACTTGAGCCGTATTGACTTAAAATGAAGAGTTGAATAAATTAACACCTCAGAGTGCTCGTAAAATTACATTTCTTTAAAAAAATGGCATTATTCAGACTTTCCAAGATGCACTGGTAAAGAATTAAAACTCCTAAGAAACAAAAATCTGCTGTCTTTCATAAAAGTTTAATTAAGTCGTTTATTTTCGCAATCATCAGAACAATTCTCACAATAATTACAAACATTGTAAATTCTCAGTGTTAAATGAAGAACTTTAAACTTTGAAAGTATAAAAGGAAAACTCTGACGATGTTGATTCAACTTCATATTTTAACTTTATTGAACTCGTTTTCTCAAGTTCTGTTAATTTGACTTGACTAGTTTCACACTTTCTCCACTCGTGCAATGATTTTAAACTAATTAATCCACCCAAGTGCAGTTAATTCGCATTTTTAAGAATTTACAGCAGCTAAACTGACTTAAAAATGATTTTAAAACAATTTACAGCGTGCAAACAGCCTCTGTTCCCTCTCTGTATGAAAGATACAAATATTTCAGTGTATCTTGAGCCAAATAAATATAATTATAGCATCAATATAAATTATTATAACCACATTTCTCTGCAAATTGCATCTCTCTTTTGTGTCCCAAACCCTTCCTCCTGCCTGCAGTACCCCCTCCGTCCATTAGATGGCAGTTTTGGCCCGTTAATTCCTCCCGTCGAGGCCACGCGAGTCCAACCCCAAACTTCAAAAAGAAACCGCTGTTCCTGTTTTATTGATACGTATAATTGAATTCATTTTATTGAGTCCTGTTCCAGGTGAATGTGGAGCCTTTTATGAGCGCAGACCGGGGCGCCGTAATCAAGTTGCCGCTGAGAAGAGTGACGACTTTCATTATTCCATCTATTTAGCAGGCAGCGCCCACTGTGATCTAATTAGGATGCTCCAGCTCAAGCGAAATCCCTCCACTAATCTGCTGTAGGACAACACATTAACCCCGAGAGCAGTAATGAACTCGTCTCATTAATTAGAATAATGTCAGATTTGGTTGTAGCTGTGGAGAGGCGGCGAGGAGCGAGGACACCCGCTTTGCCTTTGTGAAGTTTTTAAGGTGTCTGCTCTTCACGGGGGTGGAGCCGATAATGAGAGACCGCTGAATTATTTAGCTGGGAATTTCAAAAGTACCCACATTAATGGTTTTCTCGTACAACCGTGAACGTTCCTGCACAATGCGTCTTGTCTTCGGTGGTGGGAGGGAAGTGTGCGACACATTTCCTCGTCAAGGTCTTTGAAGTGAACACGAGGTAAAGAAAGAAGTGGAAGGGAGGTTTACTGGAGGGAAAAGGCGCATCCTTTGGCCGAGATGGTGGTTTTTTTTCCCGTCCCATCTCCGGCTCTCCGGGGAAAAGCTTGAACAAAGGAAAGACATGGAGCTCGGCCGCCTGTTCTTTAGCCCGAGGAGAACAATCATATTCAGCTGATTGAGGACAAGAGAGCATATCTAAAGATGGCCACCGCGAACCTTGTTTTATCACCTGAGCAAAGACACCTGAGGAGAAAATACAGACGATCTCCTGCTTAGTAAAACTACCAATACCACAGTGTAGAAGTACTCTGTTTCAAGAGAAGAGAAAGTACTAAAAGTGAAAGTATTCACTATGCAACACGGCATATTTCAGAACAATGTACATTAGTGACGCAATAATCACTTTAATATTGAAGCTGGTTTAAATTTATAGACGTTCTCCCTCATGGATCAACAAATCTGTAATATTACATTATAGTTTATTCGTTATTATTCAACTAAATATGCAAATTGACTAAAGTTGTGGAATAAATGTGTTGGAGTAGAAAGCACAATATTTATTTCTGAGTTAAATATTAAAAAGTAACCTGGCAAAAAAATAGAAAAGCTCAAGTAAAGGGCAAGTAACTCAAAATTGTACTGAAGTACAGTATTTAGGTAAATTACTTTCCACCAGTGACAATAAGATAATGAAACTGCAAAAAGAGCAAAACCAATAAAGGGTTGTTGTGTGGTACACGTATGGTAAATGCAGATAATAATAATAGTATTTTAGCGTATGGGGCATCCAAAAAACACTTTTTAAATTTAAAATACTCCTTAAAAAAATACAGGTTTTGATGTTATTTTATGTTTACATGTACTGTTATGGTCTATATTTTGTAATTGTATTAATATTTTGCGTATCAAAAGGAAGAAAAATACTTTTTTTTAAACCGTGGAGGTAGTTAGCAAAAATGCTAATACAGTAGAACTAGCTACGTTTAGCCTTGTAAAAGCAGCAGCAACAGGAATTAGCATAGCAGTATTTGTACTATCATTAGCTGTAGTAATAGTGTTTGTATTATTATCATAGTAGTAGTAGTATTTTTAATGACAGAAGCAGTTTGACATTTTGAAAAATAATGCTTTCTTGCTAACAGCTAACGCTAACTTAGCATCCACGAAAACTGTAAACAGGGTAAACAGCGAACCTTTCTCTGTCCAAAAGGCACTAAATCCACCTATTAGCACCTCTATAACGCGCTAAATAACACGTTTTATATCTTTTGTTTAGTTTTCTCAAAGGCTAAAATGTAAAAAATAATATGTTGTGGTTGTCGTCCCATCATTTCTTGTATTTGTGCTCGGCTAACTAGCGGTAACTAGCTTCATATTTAGCGCCCAGACAGAAGCAAACATTTCCATGGTGTCAAAATATTTCTTCAATTTACCGTCAGAGTAAGTGTTAGAAGTTATAATGGTACAAGTGGTCTGTTTTTAATTAGCGTTAGCAGCAGTTGTTTATTTGTTCACAGCTTCACTGTATTGTACTTTATTATTATTGTACAGCCCACAAACAGCATCTGTTGTACTTTTTAAAAAAAAAGTTCTCTATGGAAATGGTATAATTCATTAGGATATTAACGCTGAGGAAAAAGTTCAGATCATTATAATTCACAGCACAAATTCTCTGGAGGCGAGCAGTCTAACCTGACAATTAACTTCCCCAGCAGGGAGGCTCCGTTTGAGAGAGCTGTGGGGGGGGTGGGCATGTAAATCAATTAATTATGTGTGCAAGT